CATGTTTTAGTGGAAAAAAGTAAAGTGTTTGTTAGCGTGCAACTTGGAATTTAATGTCTGAATGAATTTATGTCCATACCAAAAATAAAATGAAAAACTCGAATTATGAAATTAATTGGATAAGTGTTTGGTTATGCAACATCCTTTTCCTAGTACTACTTACTATTAATTTATTTTGTTTAAGGTTATGAAAATTAGGGTTTTTGGAAATCGTGACGCGGAGCTTAAGGCTTTGTGTTGATGGACACCTCAACCTTAATTTTATGGGTTTTGGACACTATTTAAAGACACTAACATTTTAGTGTTTTGCATTCTCAGCCTCCAACCCTCTGAAACAAAAACCTTAGCCTTGAGTGTATGTTTTAATGTGTGTGGAAAATTTTGAGCCTTGGAGTGTCATTGGAAGAAGAAGTAGGTGATCTTGGTGCTTGTAGGGATTGTTCCAGCTATGATCTTGCATTACAAGTTTCTTCTGGACCTTGGGTAGGTATAAAGTTTTCACATTTATCATCCTTAATGCTTGATTCATGATTTGGAATCCTATTGTGCCCTTGTTAAGGAATGTTCTGGGAGTAAGAGAAAATCCAAAACCCTAGGATGATTTTGTAATGATTATTAGACTTAAGATGTTAAGAAAAAGTGTGTGTTTGGGTTCCTTTTTAGCGATACATATGTTCTTGTCCATTAGAACATCTTAAGAAGTTAGGATTTGAGTTTTGGGCTTATTTTAGTTGGGAAATGGATAAAGTTGGAAAATTTATCCATTATGTCCCTTAGATGAATCATATATGAAGTTTTGGCTTTTGGACTTAAGAGATTAAAAGCTTAATGAAAAGTTTGTTGAATAACCGAAAAGTGTGACACGACCATTAGGATGTCATGACATGAGTCATGATGGCTAGTTGTGACTATTTTGTCTTTTTTTTGCTCACTACACGACCAAGGAGAGGGTCATGACATGTTGACCATTGACTTTGACCAATTGATCGTTGATCGTTGACTTTGATAGTTGGTTGTTGACTTTGACCGTTGACTTTGACAAGTTGATCATTGATCATTGACTTTTTAAGCAGTTTTCCTTTTGGGCAAACTTAAAGGAATTAGGCTATACACTGAGGTTTGACATCAGATTGTAGTCCAAGTTGTTCGTGTTGTTGATACGTTCGAGTACATGCATGTGTATTTGTTTAACTCTTTGGTTTAGGTGAGTTTTCTCACTATACTGTGTGTGACGTTATATTTCATGTGTGGTAATTGAATGGTTACTGCTAAAATGTTACTTTATGTTTAGGCTAGTTAGTTTATCTACTTGTTATGTGTTGGATTCTATGGAAGTTGGTTGTAAGCCTTCAGGCCCACTAGGATAGGTAGGTGGAAGTTTAACATGTCTTGGGATGATGGCCCTAAGCCTATATGCCCCACTGAGGTGTTGAGTTGATGATGGTTGGAAGTTCTACATGTATTTGGGATTGTGTTTATAGGCCCACTAAGGTGTTGACTATGAACCTTGTATGTATGTATATGTAATGTGATATATGGTATTTTGGAGAACTCATTAAGCTTTGTGCTTATAATTATGGGCTAAGTATTTTTCAGGTAGTGCTTCTGACGCATATGCATCACAGATGATTATATTTTTAGACTTCTTCTATTTACGATGATTTTGATATGTTGATTTCACTTGTTATGGTTTTGTGGTCTTAAAACTACTCGGTGTTATATCTTTATGGAAAATGGATATTTTACTTATATTTAAAAAAGAAAATTTTGGTTTAAACTTTGGGACGTTACAGGTTATTTCAGATTACTTGTATATGACCATGACCTAATAGTTGTTAGGATTTTCGGTTTTAAATATCTGTAGCTAGGGTTCCCAATATATCACTTGAAACAATGAATAATATTAAGTATATTCGGTTTCTATCCATGGGCGTAGCTCATTGACCGAACATCATAAATTCTTATATCATGTTTTATTGATTTTCTTTGAGTGCATTGCTTAACAATATTATTACAATAGAATATTTCTAATAATATATAATCCCTTAGTTGTTTTTACTTTTTAAAGTCTAAAAGTATGTGTATTAGAAAATAGAACAAAGTTCTTCAAGTCCGGATTCATGGATAAGCCTTCACCTAAGAGAAGGAGAAATGCTAGAAGTCAAAGTCAACTTCGTTCACAAAATGATGTTAGAGCCCCCCTTCAATAAGAGGTCCAGCTATTTTCCATTCCTCGGAACAAATTATCAAGCTAGTGCTACTGCCTTCCTTAAAGAGAGGAGCCTTAGTGCACCCGTAAAGAGAGAATGCTTGGTAGCAGGTCCTTTTTTTCAGTGCAGGAAAGCGCTCTCTTTTTGCCATCCCTGCTGCAGATAAAGCAACTATAAAAGCTATGCTTGTCAATCGAGTAAGTGATTTTGGATTAGCTCCCGGATTTCGGGTTGTTTTACCATATCAGTTTATATGTTCTAGCTCAGTGTTTAGGGACGATTTTAGCAGGGTCCCGGTGTAGCACCTGCAACACCTACTTTTTATGTCCGCAGTTTTCGATTTTTTTTTACCTATTTTCATGTATTGGCAACACCTACTATGTATTCCTACGTCTGTCCCTTTCAGTGTTAATCACTTACCTTAAAAATGTGTTTCATGCATCTCTCTGTATTATGAGGATACGGGAGGGGGCTCATCCTTTGGACAATATATGCTAACACATCGAAGTACACTACATATCCATACCCTCTTCCTTGCCAACTTATTGAAACCCTTTGGACTTGAATAATGAACCTCTCATGTGGAAAGGCAATTGTCTTACCTAATAGGCCACTATGTAGTTGTTTAATTAATCACTTACCTTACTATCTATCTTCTCTAATAAATGAAAGTTTTTTTTTGCCACATGTCACTTTGTCATTAATTATGACACTTGACATTTTATGGTGTTTTTGAATTTAATCAAATCCACATGTTATTTTCTTGTATTTATCAATTTTATTTAAAAATGCTACCTAATTATGTATTTATGAGGATTTCCTTCCAAATTTCAATTCCTACATTTAAGACCATTTAAATCAATTTTCCGTTTATTTTTCTTATTCAATATTATTAACCCAAAATTATGCTACTATTTGGCATTCAAATTCACATATATTCCAGTTTTTCAAAAACTTTCCAGTGTATCTATATATGTTATATGAATTTAAAATTATGCTACTAAAATACTTTTTTTATATTGTTCTTATATTTTTTGTTCTTTGTTTTCTTATTTTTCCAAATAAAATTTGTTTAAACATCTTTTTGAGAATAATAAAATAATAAAAGTTATTAGCAAACTAAATTATTTCATTATAAATATTTTAAATAAAACACTGGTATTATTATGTATGAGTATAGTTTTTTTTTATATTAAAAATTATATTTTATAGTACGACATGATGATTGTATCATTAATCTATAAAACACATTGTTGATGTTTTAATATTTAACTTTTATTTTAATCAACCTGTATAGTACACGAGCCTCACACCTAGTAAACAAATATTTAGTACAACTTGTTAGTTTCAGGAAATAAAAAACATAAGAATCATCGCCGAGAATTTACCATTTTTGAAAAGTATTAGGCTAAAGGGAGTGGTAACACCCTTAGCACATTGTCACATCATTTTTTATGCTGTCATGTCATTTTCTTTGCTGCCACCTCGCTAACATCTTTTCCTTAGCATTTTGTAAGGAGTGGTTGCATCCGTAGCATATTTGATTTTTTTTTTCAAACTTAAATAAATTATATTTTTTTTAAAACACAAATATTTCATATTAAATAAAAAAGTTACAACCACTTTTGAGAATCTCATTGATGTTATCTTCAAAGGACTTATCACAAAACACAGAGTTGGTTAGTTCTCGATGCATTTTACTCATTACAAGTAAATAAAGAGCAAAAGAATTTCAAGCTTACCAAAAGCATTGTGAAACACTCTTGTCATGTAAATTCAAGTCAAAAGAATTATTATCAGCTAAAAATTAACAAATTGACAACGTTTACTTTCCTAAGCTTCATCATTGAGATAACTGTGTGATTAACAATCTATCCCTGGATTTAAATCATTAAAGTTGTAATAATCAGTTTCAGTTTCAAATGGCAGAACCAGACACACCCTAGATTTTAAATCTCTCAACAATCAATTACAAAACCACAAGGCCGTATGTTTAAAGTTATAATGAATCATCACCACAAAGAACTTTGAAATGCTTAAAACTCAAACTGAAATAAACACAGATTTTTCTGAAACATAATTGTGGTAATCTGATCAACAAGAGATTATGTTTACACATAATTATGTGCAAAATCTTTGCATTTAGATGGGGAAAAGGGGGAAACTTGGAGAAATTATACAAAAGTAGTGTGAACTGTTCTAAAATTCACCATTGATAAGCAATAATTGCTTGAATTTACAACAAAATGACAACCTATTGTGTGAAATAAACCCCAATTTCCCACCCCAAAAACAAAATCAGAAAAAACGAAATGGGGTTTATGATTTTTACACAAAGAAACATGTGTTTTATGTGTGTGTGAGAAAGAGGGAAAATGGTACCTAGAAAAAGGTCAAAGAAAAGAGAAGCGTAAAAGAACTTGAAAGGTGTCTGAAGACGAACAAGAAGAAGAAACATTAATCAAAATCGCATGTGAATCTGCAAAAGTTTCGACTGGAACAAGCATCAACCACTTAAACCCTTTCTCCTTCTTCTCGCTACTCCGCTGGCGAGGCTTTGATGGCGCGCCCCTTGGCGCATGCCATGGGGCGGTGTTTGGCGAGGGTGGCGACCGGTGGCGAGTCTCCTAGCGATGCCCACTCCCTTTAGCCTTAAGGTAACTTCAATATTTATTCTCATTAAAAAAAAAAAAAAGCATTGAATATTTTATGATACATTTCAAAACAAGAAATATGCTCATGAACAACGGACATGGCCTCTACACTGCCACCGGTAGTATGGTACCCTCATCACCATCCCGGTTGCGGCTCTGGTGCACCACCTGGTGCTTTTATCTCACCGAACATTCCTTCAAATTAATTTAAAAAAAAAAAAAAAAAAACTCAACAAATCAATATTCTAAACTGGAGTTGACCCATGTTCGAATTTAGTATGCGTTAAAAAAATGGAAAGGTTCAATGTTAATACAACACACTCACCACATAGAAGGAGGTTTTCTGGTGGAGGGTTTTCTTTTGCAGGGTTTGGATCATCATCATGAACCCTAACATACAGTTCTTGCCCTAAATACCAATGTTTCAAGTGTTGTGATCTCAAGTTCCACATTCCCGGGTTGTCTAGGAAGACATACACCGTTGTCCACCCTCCAGGGTAAACCTGGACAGTGGACCTGACCACCGGATCATACAAGTTATATGTATCTCGTGATTTGGGGGTCCATTCTCCATCACCAAACCTGCAAAAACATGTTCATGCATGAACATCTAAAATCCTCTACAAAAATTTGTAAAATGTGATTTGAGAATTAACGTCGACCCTAATAGATATCGACGAACAAAAAAAAGAAACTTGTGTGTGTGATTTATTATCGTTTATTCCTAACAAAAACAATTCATAAGTTTTCTTGATTCATACCCGACAACGTAAAAACCATATCCATCTAAATGCCAGGAATCCATTCGGGTTAGATCGTTCTGAAAAACAATCTCGTGCCACCCTTTGTGAGTCGCACCCACCACAGAAACGTCATACATTGCGAATGCTTTCACAGAGTCGATTGGGAAATGACCGAGTTGGTACACTCCAGTCCCATTAACGTAATAATCAGCAAGTTTCAAAGGTGTCACAGGATTTAGATATGAAACGTTGTTGACCACATTGCGGTACACCCCGTTTATATTGGCTTCTGATCCATGAAGGATGATTGTCTCTGATAAAGTTACATTCGAGACATTAAATGTTCCTTGTGGGTTAGGCCTTGCAGCACCCGCAGTCAAATTCCATCTGATTCAAGAAATCATCATTAATCATCTTCAAGAATATTAATTTGTGACAGAAAATGTGAAAATTATTATGTATAGTTATTTCGATAATTACCTGATTGATCTTGCTTGGTTGACAGAAAAGTTAATGTCCCATGGATCAGGACCGGGTGGGAGAGACCCGCCAACGAGTGAACCCGAATTGGTGTAATGCAAGACTCCTTTAGCGACAAGTGGGCTGTCGTCTGTAGTGTTGAAGAGCTTCGGAGAGGCGACAATGTAATAATCGGAGTCATCTTGATCTGCTATAACCAAAACCGAATACGACTGTCCGACATGCACGTCAATCGAGTCCATTGTGATTTGTTTGGTGTACGAGCCTTCGGTTTCCACTACAACCATTTTGTGTTTCCCGATTCTGAAGTTGAAACTCAATATGGTTCCGACGTTTGATACTCTGAATCGATACGTTTTCCCTGAACATTTAGAACACAACACGTTAATCATCTCAAAAGGTCGATACAATATTACGTAACCCACAAAGCTAACTTACCTTTTGTAACAGTGAAGGATTCATATGGTTTTGACTTTGAATACCCATACGGAGATTTCCCGTTCATCAACATCATATCGGGAACGTCAATGGAAGCTCCAAGCCTCGATCTAACGTCTTTGTAATCGTTAAAAGACCAGTCCCCAATGAGAAGATCAAATTCAGCTTCTGGCTTTGGGAATGGAACGTTGATGACGATACGATTGTTAACCCTAATAGGTCCGAAGCCTCCGGCAAGCTTTTGATAGTTAATAGAAGGGAAGTAAGTGAAAGTGCCGATCTGGTCTTTTACAACAAACGCGTAAGTCCAGTTAGTGCCTGGTTTAATCGCGCAATTAGTCCCAGAAACTCCATCTTGCCACGAATTAAGCCTCTGTTGTATCCCATTCCTGCAAATAATAAAGAAGTAAATCAACTTAAACCCTTTTGAATCATTGAAACCAAAATCAACTTATAAAGAGTCTTGGATATAACGAATTAACGATCATACCAAGTGAAAAGCATGGGTTCGTCTAAATTGTTGAAGACGTTTACTCTGACAATATCGTTGGTGGTGGCATTAATAAGAGGCCCCGGAAACATACCATTAATGGTTATTACCGGCTGAGCAGCGGGTGAACGTCCGAGAGTGTCGTCACTTGCAACGTCCCACTGTAGATCGATGATGGCATCGCTCGTTCTTGCAAGTAAAATCGTGAAAAATGCTAACATGCACCGTATCCGGTGGTGGAAAGAATCCATTGTGTGAGATGCGGAGGAGCCAAAGCGGCGACTGTGGTCTATGTAACAACGAGGTCCGCATGCCGGCAAAAGGGTTAACGAAGTTCGACAGACAAAGTAGTGACCTTGTTTTCAACAGCTGGGCGTGGCAAACAAGAAACCAACTGTTTTTTGTGTTTTCATAAAAGGTTCATAAAAGGTGCTGCTAATAAGACACCTCTTAGACACCTGCTCATCATTTTTATAAAAAGTCAACCTATAATAAACTATTTGTAATCAGTTTTTTCGGAAAACAATGCAAGTTCAACCAATAAAAATACTTCAAAATTAATTAGGGTTGTCTAAATGCTAAAAATGGATGTCTTTTTAGCCAACCCCTTTCATAAATGTTAAGATGCTAAAAACAATCTATATAGACATCTACAAGACTATAAAAGGTTTGACAAAATCAAGCAAACCGCTGTATATATTTTCCGGTTTGACTTTGAGGTGAAAATTGTTTGAACAAATTCAGAATTGATATTAGGCCATCTCCAATGGGTTAAATCTCATTAAACTCAAAAATTTCCATTATGGGTTAAGGACATGACATTCGATAGAATGGAGAATTTAATCCCCATTGAACTCTACACTCTCTCTCTCCTCACACACACACACACACATATAATGAGTGGAATGTATATATGTCAATCCATTGAACTTATATGAGTTTAATGAAGTTTAGAATTTAATAGGTAAAATTACATATATATATATATATATATATATATATATATTAATCTATTGAACTCATATGAGTTCAATGCATTGGAGATGGCCTTATGAATAAGGAATTCCCCAAAAGGTGAAAGCTAGAAAGATTTACCCTAAAAGGTAAACTTTGACTCTGAATAAAAAAATACTTACTAATGGCATGTGGACGGTCATATTGACCGAACTTTAGAGTCGATGTGACTTTTTGATAGAGGATTATTTAGAATAAATAATCTTAACTAAGTTGTAGTATATATGTCACAAGGTTTTCGTACATATAAATAACGCCGAAATCCGAGTTATAACGAAGAATTTTTGACTTGTCGAAGTTTCGCGACAAAACCGGCACCACACCGGGAATCGTAAAAAGTGAGTTTATGATAAATTACTTTTAGCCTTAGTGATATAAAAGAAAGTTGTAGAGTTCGTCTCCACCTACGTGTGGATATAAACAACGTCAAAAACGGAGCTCATATGCAAAACTTATGATCTTCCGAAGATACAGCTGTTTGAGACCATGACACGTGTCAGAAACCCTAATTTGACTGAGCTCACGACGTGAGCATATAAATTCACGACGTGAGGAGTCAAAACGCCACTTTTTAAGGCTAGAATGCAGATGGCAAGTCTACGTTCAAAACTCACGACGTGAGCATGATTTCTCACGACGTGAGGAGTCAAACGGACACCATTCGAAGCTAGGGACACATGGCGAAGCTACAAGGTGATACAGCCATGGCTCAGGACGTGAGCATTGATTCTCACGACGTGAGAGACCAAAAATCAGCCTATAAATAGTCATTTCGACCCTAAGGCTCATTACACTTTCTACTTTCATTATCTCTCATTTCCGAAGGCCGTTTCCACTTCCCGAGCCCGGCGATCACGAACCGCTGACCGTTTCTAGATAGATTCTATTAAAGCACGCTACTAGTGAGTGCATAGTTACTTTCATCTTACACATAGATATGAAGTATTTAATATAAATTACATGAAATGTGTGCATATTATTTGTGTTCTTGATATCTATGTTGGATGAACAATTTTATACATGTTTTAAATGATTTAAACTGTATATGCATTTTATATCTACAAATACGTTGGGTAAAACATGGGTAGATGAATTAGATTATGTGTGATGAAATAAAAATTAATGAGAGGTCTCGATGTTTAAGATGATCTAGTCATCTAGAAGAGTATAGACAACGACCACAGACTATTCTAGACAGTCCAGTGGAACGTTAGCAGGCTCATAACCTGTAGGTGTTTTTGAACTATGTGTTCATTAGGTGTTTTTGAACTATGTGTTCATTAGGTGTTTTTGAACTATGTGTTATTAGGTATTTTTGAACTATGTGTTCATTAGGTGTTTTTGAACTATGTGTTCATTAGGTATTTTTGAACTGAGTGTTCACTAGATGTTTTTGAACTAGGTGTTCATTAAGTATTTTTGAACTAAGTGTTCACCAGTTGTAATTTAAGATCCCTGGAAGTTATGGACTTAGTGTCTGTTAGATAAACCTTGGCAGCGATGGACTTTGTGCCTATTCCTTAAGAAGATCCTTAGGAATGAATGAATGAAGGACAGATGATTCTTAGGATAGAACTCTAAGAATAAAGAAGATAATGGGGATGGATAATTGAGTTGATTGTTTGATGATTAAACATAATAATTATATTATTGTGGGTTGAAAACCCTATGTGCTCACCAGGTTTCCCAACCTGACCCACTCAGCTTATTTGTATCACAGGTGTCAATACGAAGCTACATTACACTGAGAGATTAAAAGAGATGTGGATCATTAGTGTAAATGAATGTAAGGTCTGTTTATGCTTATGTTTCTGTATTGACAGTGACATCCCAAAGTTTTAATATAAACAAAATACATTTCTTCAGAAATGCTTTGATAATATGTTTATCATGTTTTTCTGGGAACAAATTCCGCAACACTTTTCTTTAAAAGGATACTCTGGTTTTTAAAATAAAGCATAAACAAATCGGTCTTTTCTGGCCGTGAAAATGGGGATGTCACAGATTCTTTGTTTTTTCATCTATACATTGATAACTACATTGCTAAACAAGAAATACCATGTCTTGTTATTAGCGACAAATACATTCATCTTGTAGATTTGATATAAGACTATCGGTGTAAGGCTTTCAAATATTTGCATCACAAATGGTCCCACATACGATTTTACGATTCGATCCTACGATCCTACCACGATCTTACCGAAAAACGATCCTAATAAGATCGGGATCAATTTAGCTAGTTATGATCGTAGGATCGTACGATTCTACGATCAGAATCGTGATTTTGACAACCATGTTTATGTTGACATGCCATGTCATTTGAAAGTGGTTTGCAATTTCATTTTGCAAGAGCAATGTAGATGCTCTGAGGATTATAAAACTAAGTGTAATATGCAGTTTTGACATGGCTCATTATGTGGTTTTCAAAACTTGCACGGATGCTCCCCGAGGCTCTTACTCATTTACCGTTAATGTCTCTTCGTTAGGTAAGTATTACATGACAAAGTTCCCCTATTTTTTTTTCTTATGTTGTTTTTTCTTATTAATAAAAGAACCACCTCCAGCTCCATCTCCAACATCCAACACCACCAGTAATGTAACACCCGTAAGATCGGGCTAGGCATTTAAGACATAATATAAATTTCGTATTTAAAAAAATAGGAAAAATCAACTGAATCGTCCGTAAATCATAAAAATAAATGCGCCAATATATATATATATATATATATATATATATATATATATATATATATATATATATATATATATATATATATCGGGTAGTGATGGGTGATGAAAGATAAGAGATAAGAGATGAAAAATGATCAGGAGAGGTTCTTAACAATAAAAATATAGGAGATGCCATGACTTTTACTTGCGATGTTTGCGATGTAGTCATCTAACAGAGTATAAATGGCGATCACAGGCTAAGTTAAACAATCAAGTGGAACACCAGCAGATTTGCAACCTGTATGTGATGAATTACGAGTTCAGGCGATGTACGGACCATGTATTCATGCGGTGTACTCTACTGGCATGTATTGAGGAGGAATCCCCAAAGCAGTATTGCCAATGCAATGTTAGGTGATGAACCTTAAGAGAATTCCTTAGCGTAGAATATATAATAAAATACAATATTGGCGATGATCTTTAGGATAGTTCCACATAAATGAATATAGAAGAAAATGGGGATGGGTAATTGGGGTAATTGTTTGATAGAAAATTAAACATATTAATTATATTATTGTGGGTTGAAAAGTTTATGTACTTGAAAAATCTTATATGCTCAAGAATCATATTAAACTGATATTGCTAATTAACATATGATATTAATGGGTCACACTAACAACAACTTGATATAATTGATTATTTATTAGAAATTGATTTTAATAAATATTCAATAAACTCTTATAATTAAATTGGAAATTATTTATTTCTAGGAAATTGTAAGAACAATAAAAACTTAAATCGATAGATTATGTAACCGTAAGTGAATAATCAACAAGAACAATGAAGATCAAATAGTGTCGAATGTTTAGATTGAATAGCTTTAGAAGAGTTCAACGTGAAATTTTCTGTAAAAGCTAGGCAGGGCAATACAATCGTTAACTCTAATAGTTACATGCATGCACATTAAATAGTCTAACCCCATAAAGTGAAACACGGATGGACAGGCCCAATCCGGTGTAAATAAGACTATAAGTACAATTGACATAACACTTAATAAGCCCAACAATCTCCCCCTTTGTATCAAATAAAGAAAGGAGATTCTTCATTGTTGTTTCTTCTGAACCTTAAACAGCTTTTTCATCAAATTCAGAAGGGTATATCCGATCACATGATACCAATTGATCATATCATTGAAGCATGTCAGGTTTGCATCATTGTTTGCTTTGCACGCTTCAGTTAAGCCCATGATGTTGTTCAGTGCAACGGTAGAGTATAAATGTTTGTCTAACAAATAGAACAAACTCTTTTTAACTTTTTCACTATCCTTTCTCTGATACACCACACTCCAATTTGCTTTCTTAATCTTACCCATCCTCATCTTTTGGAAGTCCTTCGATTCTTCTTCAGGTTTCACAACTGGTCTTTTCTTTAAAACTGCTGCTATTTCCACATCCATTTTTGCAGTTTCATGAATGTAGCAAACCAACATTCTCCTCATATGAGCAACGATTGGCTTATACTTCTTTTCATCTTTCGACAAAATCAGAAACAAGGAAATCCAATCATT